TTTTTTTTTAATGCGTGATTTTGAACAGATGTAAACAATGGCAGGAGGCTTAAAAGTATAGACGTGATACCAGCTAAATTTAATTATTGTACTAAATCGCAGAAAAGTAGGCTACAGTATGTACTTTAGACTGCTATTCCTCACTCTGTGAAGTAACGTGAGGGAGGAAACTAGTTGACGTTAGCTAGTTAATTAGCCATGTTATCTGCCTCGGTAGCAAGCCAAATAGTATTTATTTCAACACTGAAACAAACGGAGGGTGGGTCTTGATCGGGGGTGAAAGAGGGAGAAATTAAGATGACACAGATATATAGTTTATGTTCGACTTGGAAGTATTTATTTAGCGATCGGCGCTAAAACGTCATCTGTACGGAACATCATTGTGTACGGAACATGGTTAGTCTACGTTACCCGAAAAATTCCCATACGACAGACTTCGTCTTTTTCGACGGGGGAAAAAGTTCCATGGATTCATCTCCTTCGGCCATCCTACACACAGGTGACTCCGCTCGCACCAACCGGAGGGGGAGGGGTCGTGTGACTTGTTACGCTCTTCGCTGCACACAACTGAGGGAGTCATGCACTTTCCGTCTTTGACGACACGTAAAAAAACTGTGCATACCGCAGGAACGGTATAACGGGAAATTTTAGTGGTTTTGAAACCGTGACTTTTCCAAACCGCGGTATATCTTGAATCCGGTTATCGTCCCATGCCTAGTCTGGAGCCCTGGTACTGTTGGAGTAACTGAATAACTCCGGGATATTGGTTTATTTCGAGTCGGAGGGACTTTCAGTCACTTCAGGAAGTGAGTAACTTAAGTAATTTGTGGCTCAGTGCTTACTGGAGACGCGAACTGTTTCGAACGATCAGTACGATTTGGTGAACTGGTTCGACCGGTTCACTAAAAAGTAGGGCTGGGACAATAAATCGATGCATCGCGAATTGAGAAATGATTCTGCATCGATTCTGAGATTTTCCGAAGGTATCACGATTCTCTCTCGAATCGATTCTGAGCTTAGTTTTAACAGCAGATGGCGCTGCGTGCTTTAGAAATAACCGTATTCTGTTTGCTTCCAGTTCCTTACACACGCACCACCTGAACCTAAAATAATCATTCATAAAGTTCGAAAAGGTTGAAGCGAATTACAAGAATGTTCACAGTGGACTGTGTTTACTTTAATCTCGCATCATAAAAGCATAAAAGCCGATGTGCAAGTACATTTAAACACTTACATTACTCAACGCACAAGCGCTCTTCTTCGTGAGCATTTGAGTGTACAGTTAAAAACTAGCCTTGAGCGCCATCTGCTGTTAAAAACTAAGCTCAGAATCGATTCGAGAGAGAATCACGATGCATTCCGGAAATCTCAGAATCGATTCACGAATCGCGATGCATCGATTTATTGTCCCAGCCCTAGTGTTTTTAGACGCGACATGTGAATGGCCCGTAAGAACGCATATTGAGAAATGGCCAAAATCTCAACTTTTCAGAATGCCACAAGCACACTGCAGGTCACATGACAAGAACCAACCAATCAGCTTCACCCTTTCTGTAACAACATTGAAAGCTCAGCCAATATGGAGGAACATGCTGATCATAGCTGTACAGCGATACCCATTTTCTAGTAGCAGAGCTACTGCAAGCGGTTTTCGGTGCTGGAAATCAATTTAGCTTTTGTTGAGCCTTCCGTGTCGTGATGGAGAGCGTAAGTCATGGTTGTTTAGACCGCGGGCAGACGCCACAGGAGCGCAAACTTCTGAGCGCTTTGGAAAGAAGGAGAAAGTGGCGCGGCTGCTGTTTTCCACGTGTTTTTAGTTCACCCAAAAATGAAAATTCTGTCATTAATTCACCCTCATGTCGTTCCAAACCCATAAGACCTTCGTTCATCTTCTGAACACAAATTAAGATATTTTTTGATGATATCCGAGAGCTTTCTGACCCTGCATAGACAGCAAGGGATCTCACACGTTCAAGTAGTCCATAGTCCATGTGACATCAGTGGTTCAACCGTAATGTTATGAAGCTACGAGAATTTTAACAGTGTCCTTACTATCTTTCTGAGTCTTGAAAGTGGTAGTTGTGTTGTCTATCAACAACAACAATAATAATAGTCATAATAATTATTATACACAGTGCTGGGTAGATTACTTACAAATTGTAGTCTGTTACTGTTTGTAACATAATTTATTGGATTACTTATATGTGACCCTGGAGCACAAAAGCAGTCTTAAGTAGCACATAAATATTTGTAGCAATAGCCAAAAATACATTGTATGGGTCAAAATTATCAATTTTTCTTTTATGCCAAAAATCATTAGGATATTAAATAAAGCAATCCCATTATGCAATCCGGATTACATGCAATCAGTTACTACCCAGCACCATATATATATATATATATATATATAAATAACTTTTTAAAATTATTATTATTTTTTGCATCACAATTTGGGGGAGGAAATAGTCACAATGCAAACAAATAAAAATAGGCAAAAAAAAAAAAAAAAAATAGG